TTCCTGAACAGAGCATGGAGAAGTGTATCCTTTCTTTAAAATAATTTATAAAGTTAATTATCTAACTTAAACTCTATATTTTCAAGAGCTTGCTTCCTGGAAGGCAAAGTGTTTTCAGGATAAATACCTGGGTCCCAGGGTTGACACATACTCTGAGCCGGTCCCTCTGTGCAGTGTTCAAGCGCACGCCCCGGGCACAAACACGCAAGACCTGACGCTGCCGAGGCCAGGAGTGCGGGCAGGACCTAACCCAGCAGGGGCACGGGTCCTGTGACCGCCCAGCAGGGAGGGCCAGCCCCCCGGCCCTCCCGGGGCCTGTCAACAGCTGTGTTCACCATGGAAACAGAAGAAAAAAAGGAAAACTGAGGAGGGGAGACAGTGCCTGAGTGGTCTCAGCCACCGAGGTTTGGGGTCCGGCCTCACTGTCCCATCACGAGGGTCCATCTGCAGCTCCAGCCGGCCCCGGTCGGTGGGAAGCTGAGATTTTCTGAAGCTGAGCAGGTCGTCCGGGTCTCGGGCTGGCAGCGGGAGAAGCGGATCCCCACTCGGGTCGCCGTGCGCGGACACCACACGCTCACCCACCGCGCCCCGGGCTCCCCCAGGCTCCTTCTGGGACAGGGCACCACGGCCGTCCGGACATCGCAGCCCGTGGCGGCTGCCCCCCAACACGGCAAACGGAGCCCGCGTGTGCACAGGGCCCGGGGCCTCCTTGCCACCATCTCTCCCGTCTGGCCTGGAGGGCGGTGGTGGGGGTTACCATGACAACAGTGAGCGAAGGCGTGTCTTCATTCTCCATGCACACACGTGCACCTCACAGTCAGACTCCGGGGGACGGTGTTTGTGTCCCGCCTCCCCTCTGCCGCCGTGAGACTGAGAACACGTGGGTTAACCTCGAGGAGCCTCCATGTGCTCATCTGAGAAATGGGCTCGCAGCTGCCTAAGCATGGGCCCCTCGTCCCCCCAGGGCTGCCCCTTGCTCCTTCTGCTTGCCTGGGGCTCCGGTTTCATTGTGACTGTGACTGGGTTGGACGGGTCTAGTGTTCCCCTCTGCCATGGAAACTCCTCTAGCCCAGGACCTGTGACCGCCCCTCGGCCTGGGGTGAGGCCCCGTGGGGCGTCCTTGGAGGCACTGAGCGAGGTCCCCCGTGGTGTCGAGGATGGCGCCGCCCACACCTTCCCTGCGAGAACTGAGCGCTGGCCGCCTGAGGCCAGTCTGGTCCTGTCGTCCAGCGGAGAAATCCACCTGAGAAAGAAAATGAACAGAAACCCAGGCAAAAGCGCTGGACACTTGAAAAGGTAAACTGAGGCAAAGAGACCAAGGCACAGATGCCCCTTCCCTCCTTCCCAGCCAGATAGACCTGCTCTGCGGGGTGAGGACAGATAGGAGGGTCTGGGCGGCGTCCAGGAGGGGTGCTGTGTGCCGGACGCCCGGCCGGTGCCTGGTGCCACAGAATCGCCCATGAGGACCCCTCCTATGTCGTGTCCCCAGCTGTGGCCGCAGAGTGGGCCGGTGGGGTGTCACCATCACCGGGGAATCACCCAACCCTGAGACGGGGGTGGGGAGGAAGGACCAGCCCCACCGGCCCTGTCGCAGCCCCCGTGTGGACCACCCTGCGGTGACGTGCTCCAAACACCTGCCCCACGCCCAACATCCCCCGTGCTCAGTGTCACGAGG